ATAAATTCACCAACAACATCCAACATAATCTCAAGCAAGGTAAGAGGTTCAAGAGGTTATAAAACCCTCAAAAATAACATACCTCAAAATAGTGAACTAGCTCAACTACCTAATACTTTCAATTCCAGCTTCTTGTTTTCATTTCTCTTTGGCTCTTTTGCTATCTTTTTCACTTGGAAACAATTGAAGATGAGTTGAAGGAGTTAATCTCTTATTTAGAGGTAAATAAGAGGTCTTTAAGGTATTGAAGTCATGATCAAAGCTTAGGAGTGAAGAAAGTAGCCTAAGCATGAGGTGTTTTCGTAGTAAAAATCTGATTTTATAGCCATCCTTGCAGTAGAAAATCAAGTTTCTTTAACCTATTTAATTGTGTCTTAAACCTAATATAATTGCCATAGGATCCGAAAATAATTTATAGAGTTAATTCCTTAACCGTTCATTCGATTCCTTACCCGATTGGCGCACAATTCTCAACCAACTTCAACAATTTGCACCTCAATATTTATAACGTCACATGAATCTTATATTATTGTATTGTGATCAGGCCACTTCATGTCTCATATCCCAAATATGTTAAAGACTTAATTAAGGTTTAGAGTAAACATGATTAGCTAAATTAAAAGCGAGTAACTTTACCGATGATGATTCCAACACTTTCAAGATTACAATCGTTTAACACATCAATATCCAACATCTAGATTAATCTAAATTTCTACCACAGCTCAATGTAAGATTCACCACCTTGGTTGGGGGTCTAAGGCTAACATCATATAGAAATCTTAAAACCTCAATGATCCAATGCACCATAATTAGATAAAACAATTTCAAACTATTGATGCAAAGACAATGACAATGTAAATAGCAAGTAATGCATGAATCATATTGGTTAAGTGTGTAAAGTAAAGTTGAGGGTATTACACTTGGGGTTTGTAAGGAAAAAAGAGGTTAGCAAATGAGACTCCCCTTCCCTTTTTATAGATGATTTTTTTGGGAAATTTTTTTTCCCAAAAGATAACCCACTCATGGTTTTCCAAATTCCCAATGTAATCGAGCATATAACTCTTTGTCATTTGGCATATTAGACCCATTTATGCATCGCCAAATGTTAATACGTGATGGAAGATTAAAGAAAGAAGAAGAAATTATCTATAATTTCTCTAAGAACATAGAGGAATGAAGATGCTACCTCTTAACAATAACTATCAACAAGAGGTAGAAAGGGCTAGTGATTCAAATGGTATGAGCAGTGAGCACGATGGCCAGGAAAATGAAGATGACCTATCGATTACCAAGATGTTCGACCGATTATCGTAATGAACAGTCGACTACCTTCAAAGGAGTAGTTTTCCCACCCGGGATCTACTTTACCATATTTCGAATTCAATGGTTTTAATAAACACTTGGTGTTACCTCTAGCAATAGGTATTCTCTCATGTCTTTCTTCGTTTGTGGTTCGGTATTCTGGTGGTCTAGGCATAGAGGAAAAACACCAATACATTTCGAACTTGTGCAATGATCTATTAAGGGAATATAATCCCACATCGGTAAAATACCGAAATAGTGACTAATATATAAAGGATTGGAACACTCCTCTTAATAAGGTTGACCTTATTAAGATGGACCCCAAGTCTTAACATGGTATCAGAGCTCATTAAGCTCCAACGAGCGATTCGATCCGATTAAGTCTCTAAAAATGAGCATACGGATTTAAAGATTGGTCTGCTCAAACGAGCCACCATCTTGCGGGGGCATGTTAAGGGCATATAATCCCACATCGGTAAAATACCGAAATAGTGACTAATATATAAAGGATTGGGACACTCCTCTTAATAAGGTTGACCTTATTAAGATGGATCCCAAATCTTAACACTAATATATAAAGGATTGGGACACTCCTCTTAATAAGGTTGACCTTATTAAGATGGACCTCAAATCTTAACATGATCAACTTACCATTGTGTGGTTGACTGCTAGGAAGCTCGTTCTACTACTCTATTCCCCAATCGTCTAGGCATTCTTTTCATGGATTGAAAATCGCATAACAATTACATCTGGTGTCCTTAACCACCTATTGAAGGAAAGATAACTACTACTATACACGTGGGTGTAAGATTGCTTAGCGGTTATATCACAGTAAACACCAATAAATTCTCGAAGGCTTAATGGTATGAGGGGAACTTTTTAACAATATCTTTTCTAGCTTTCTGTTTTAACCTACTAAAAATCATTTATTTTCCACTTAAACCTAATAACTAATTGTCACATTGGAGGTACAACAAGAGAAATAGCTCTAACCTTTTCTTGCAGGTATTTCGCTATTCATCGTAGCAGCAAAACCACCTTGCTCAATCAATCAAGGAAGTCGAAAAGTTATTTCATTGATTTCACTCATGAGAACAAAATTTTACGTTTTTTCTTTGGGACATATTATTTCAATTATGTAGTACTTGTACGCATTATACCAGAATTAGATTATGTAATCTCTCAATTACCTTGAAGCTTTGGTAATAAAGCTAAGAATTTACACAGATTGTACCAAAGATTTTCAAGATCTGAGGTGAACTTTAGAAGTTTGCTCCCCCAAATCATAGTTTGCATTGATTTTTTATTTTATTTTTTTGTTCATCAGAGTTTTACGAAGCTAAATCTATTAAGTTAAAACTCAACAAAAGGACAAATAAAATGTAATATTCAAAATATTTATGTTAAAATCAAATAATAAGGCACAAAAATACTTTAAGTTTAGGCGTGAGACGACTACCTCACCTGCTTTTCTTCACGTCCGACTATGCATAGGTTTCAAATCCCCTTTAATATAAAATAATAAGATGCACATGCAAGCCACGTGACACGGTATGGTTGATTATGTAATAGTATAGGCATACAAAAAATGTTTTTGTGCTATTATTAGAAGACATTTCATATACTAAGATAAAGTATAAAATAATACTATAATGAGTAAACAAAAGGTGATTTATACATTTTAAAAGCTTTATTTCATACATGATCTAGGATTACAAGGATAGGAGAAGAAATGAATTCCTTGGTCTATACATACATATGTGTGTGTCTATATGTATACATAAATGTGTGTATATATATGTATACATATATGTACATGTATACATGCCAAAAACAAGGGACCTACTTCTCATCCTAGAAGTTTGCAGGTATGAAAGAGTCCTCTCTCTGTCTCTCTCTCCGAATTTCTTCTTAATCAAGAATTCCTCAACTAGATAAATTTTATATATATATATATATATATATACACACACACACACACACACACACACAAACACAAGAATTCCTCAACTATATATATATTCTCTTTTAGTATTATTTTATATCTTTTGGCTTAAAGAAGGATACAAAGAATGCACATCATTACGTTATCGTTCTTGGAAACATAAGAATGACATTCACTACACAATGCATTCTCTTTTAGTATGATTAGGGTCTAGGATTGTGAGAACTGTCTTCAGGAATTCCATCTCTATTTTTCCCATAAGATCAGCTCCAACATCAGCTGCTTTAGCATATATTACACCACCCAATTGAAAACTAATGTGACAACATAATGAATCTTGCATTCTCTCTTTTAAGAGATTAATAGTATACATTTGGAAAAGAAAATGCATCTTACACACACAATCATAAACCACAAATTTGGGAATAAATCCCTCGAGGCCTTAAAAGAAACGGAAAAATTCACACATCTTCTTTCTTTTATCACTTAGGAGCCGTGTGAGATGAAAGTCTCATGCACGACTTAATGCATAACTGACAAATTGTATTCAGACCATTTACCAAGCAAATTTAGTTTGCATATTACTTAATAATCAACAAAAAAGAGCAAAATAACACCAATGGAAATCATTAAAAATGATAATGTACCTCTTGATGATCAGATGTTCAGTTTTTCGGGCTAATAGGATTTTCTTAGGAACATTCCTACATTTTAAATCCAAAAATAATGAGTAAAAAAAAATCCCGCGTTTGTATTAATAAAATCTTCCTGTAAAATTTGTAGAAATGAATATTAACCAAATACTAGTTTTTTTTGTCCAACGTGTGATTTACCAAAAATGGCTGCAACAAATGCTCCAAGTCCAATCTGCTCATGATCTCATGACTGGATAGAAAAGAAAATACAAACCTATCAAAATCAATACTAAAGGAATTTAGCTCAATATAATCACTTGATGAGTATCAATCAAATCCTTAATTCTAGCAAAAACTAATTACATCTGTACAAAACATAATTAAAACAACACAAACAAAAAATTCACAACTTCAGTAGGAGGGGTAGGTGGTAATGGGGAACGAATGTCCATTTTGAACCTTCAATCGTGTCGATAGTGGAACCTATCTGTTTGTACACGAGCTTTCCATTTTCAAACGACAACTTCATATGATTCTCTCTCTTTTTGTTAGAGAGAATGATAATATAATTTCATGAGAATGCTATCTAATATGCTATAATTAGTTCAATACTTTACTTGAAAATATAAATCCACGATCATCATATAAATAAGTTAAAGCAAAGGCTATTAATTTGACAAAAGAATTCCTGGTCTACTTATGCTTCTGATAAATAGAACTTGCAGTTGATACAGCCAATAAAATAAAAATCATAATTATAATCTATTTCCTTTTCACATCACTTTTTCTATCTCTGACCTTGAAACTACGTTAGTTCCTGCAAAAAAAAAAAAAATAATAATAGTAACAATAAGAGTGAACTTTATAGAATTGAGTGTCTGCTATTTTTGGGTTGACGTCAACTGGATTCTTTTGAAATTATTTTAACTTGAGATTTGAGAATAAAGGTAGCTTTGTTTCACCCATGTTCTTAACTTTTCTCGTTTGATGATACCTATTCACATTGTGTATGTTAGAAAATGGTATGAAATGGGTGAACTTTGGACCCCAAATTTCAATAGGACCCACATCTTAATTAATACGGGATCTAGCATATTCACGCTCTACTCCACAAGGTGATGAACATGGTATATTTATTTATCGAAAACCATTTAGAATTGAATGAAATATTTAATGTCAAAGTAACCCACTTGAAACTATGAATTAGTGAATAATTTGATTTGCCCAAACACTTATCCTACATAGGAAAATTATGAAACTTTGGTGTGGTTTATATGGTGCAAGTTTGGGAATTGGGTTTGGGCTCCAAGGGATATCAATAGTTTTTGGAAGGGGGGAGACCTATATCCTATCGGGTTCAGTCATAAGCCCGCGCGCGTCGTCGTCGCTGTCCGGCACGAGCCCGTGTCCGAGTCCGAGTCGATGCGGGTGCGTCCTTGCACTATATTAATTTTTTGGACAAAATTTATTTGAATTTTTGGACCAAATTGTATACAATCAAATTCTTGGACAAAATTTATTTGAATTTTTGGACCAAATTGTATACTATCAAATTTTTAGGTACTTAATAAAATTTATTTTTTTATTGACTTTTTTCGGGTAATTTTTTGGATGTTCTGTTAAAACAGACACTGTTAACCGATCAAACAGTCGACTGTTAACCTTCGACCGTTAACCAACTTAACAGACGCAGTATTGAACTAACATGTCTGTTGGAGTTTTGGAGGCTGTCTGAACAGTGACGACTGTTCTGAAGGGTGTTCGAATGGCCACGAACGAGTCTATAAATAGCCTGCCTCGCTGCCAGAAAGTTACATCATTTTCATTGTAAATTTTCTCTACTTTGAATCTCATTCTCCCTCTCGTTCTGATACTATTTTCGAAGTAAAAACACTTCGTTGCGTTCGTTGGAACTCCTGTAGATTGTTGTGCTACTTTCGTAGGAGACAAAATTTGTTCTATCCTGGGAAATGATTACTAGATACCTTTAGCACCATTGAAGGCAGTAAATTTGTTTTTAAGGAAATATTGTGAAATCGGTAATTTAAATTTCTATAATACTGTTGCGATAATTCTTTCGGATTGTTTGAAGGGGAAACTTATACTCCAGGATTAACAATCTTAAAATGAATTTTGCTTTTCTGGATCATTCTATTTCTACTCCTTCTTATTGATTATCTTCTGATTGTGTTTCAGAAATGGCAACTTCTGGTACTACACTCCCGAATACAACCAGAGAAAAAACTAGAGAAATTTAATGGGTCGAATTTTAAGCGTTGGCAACAGAAAATGCTTTTTTATCTGACAACATTAAGTTTGGAAAAATTTCTCAAAGAAGATGCGCTCTCATACACCAAGCAAGAAAGTGACGTTGAGAAATTGGCTGCGGTTGATGCATGGAAGCATTCCGATTTCTTGTGCAGAAATTATGTACTCAACGGACTGGATAACACATTATATAATGTGTACTGCAATGCGAAATCCGCAAAAGAACTGTGGGAATCTTTGGACACAAAGTACAAAATCGAAGATGCCGGCACGAAGAAATTCATTGCCGGTCGTTTTTTGGATTATAAAATGGTTGACAGCAAGACTGTCATATTGCAAGTTCAAGAACTTCAAATCGTACTCAGCGACATCCATGCCGAAAGAATGAAACTAAGTGAATCATTTCAAGTCGCTGCACTAATTGAGAAATTACCGCCTTCTTGGAAGGACTTCAAGAATTATCTAAAGCACAAGCGGAAGGAAATGAAACTTAAAGATATCATTGTTCGGTTGAGAATAGAAGAAGACAATCGCAAATCTGAAAAGAGGAGTGGTACATCTCATTCGATGGAATCAAAAGTCAACACTGTGGAGGAGGTTTAAAGACTAGCAAAAAGAGAAAGCACAATGGCGAAGGGCAAACTAGTTCTTCAAAAGCTGCTAAAATGATCAAGGGCAATTGTTACAATTGCGGCAAGGCAGGACACCGATCTAAGGACTGTCGAAAGCCAAAAAAAAAGTCAAGGGAGAACCTCACCAGACAAATGTAGCAGAACATGACAACCTTTCTGATAAAGTACAAGAAATAAATCTTTCTGCGGTCGTCTCTGAATACAACTTAGTTGGAAACACTGAGGAATGGTTGGTATATACTGGAGCTACTCGTCACATATACTCAAACCGCGGGATGTTCTCTACCTACAAAGTAATGGATCATGATGAACAACTCTACATGGAAAACTCATCATCTTCCAAGGTTAAAGCACATGGAAAGATAGTGCTGAAAATGACAAGTGGAAAGGAGCTCACTTTGAATAACGTTCTTCATGTGCCCGATATTCGAAAGAATTTGGTATCGGGTTCCCTATTAAGCAAGAATGGGTTTAAGCTAGTATTCATTTCAGACAAATTTGTACTTACGAAGAATGAAATGTTTGTAGGAAAGAGCTACCTGAATGAGGGGCTCTTTAAGTTGAATGTAATGATTGCTGTACCTCCGATTATAAATAAAAATACTTGTTCTTCTTACATGCTTGAGTCGTTTAATATTTGGCATAAACGATTAGAACATACAAATTATAATACTTTTCGTAGACTAATCAAATTGGATTTATTATCAAAGTACGATTTAAATCCTAATAACAAATGCGATATATGTGTAGAAGCCAAAATGACATGTTAACCCTTTCGTTCTGTTGAAAAAAGTACCGAACCTCTAGATTTAATTCATACTAATATATGTGATATAAAGTTTGTTCAAACGAGAGGAGGTAATAGGTACTTTATTACTTTTATCGATGATTGCACTCGATATTGCTATGTGTATTTACTCAAAAGCAAAGACGAAGCTATTGAAATGTTTAAACATTACAAGTTGAAAGTTGAAAATCAACTTAGTAAAAAGATTAAGGCTATAAGAAGAGATAGAGGTGAATATGATTCTCCATTTGAACAATTTTGTTCGGAACACGGAATAATTCATCAAACTACCGTGCCTTATTCTCATCAATCCAATGGTATTGCTGAACGCAAGAACCGGACATTGAAAGAGATCATGAATGCTATGTTGATAAGTTCTGGATTACCATATAACTTGTGGGGGTAAGCTTTGCTTTCTGCCAATTATCTTCTTAACAAATTACCACATCGAAAAACGGATAAGATACCTTATGAAGTATGAAAATGTCACAAATCGAATTATAAATACTTAAAGCCAGTCCAGCATTGTGTATCCACCGTTCGGGCAGCCAAATTTCCAGTTGAAGACAAATGTGATACAACTGTTCCAGAACGGACATCAGTTTTATGGAAGAGTTGAAGAGAACCCACACACGCATGTCTCGGGCTTCTTAGAGATGTGCCAACACTTCAGATATCAAGGAATCTCTGACGACGCCATAAGATTAAGACTGTTTCCACATACTTTGAAGGACAAGGCGATTGAATGGCTCGATTCTCAGCCGATAGCCAGCATTACTACCTGGAATGACCTAGCTCAGAAGTTCTGTACTAAGTTCTTCCCACCGGCCAAGATTGCAAAGTTAAAGCACGACATATCTATCTTCAGGCAAGGTGAATCTGAGAATTTTGATGAGGCTTGGAACAGATTCAAAAATCTACTAAGGAAGTGTCCGTACCACGGGATTAGCAAGGGACTTCAGGTCCAATATTTCTATGCAGGGCTACTTCCAGCTTTCAAGAGCATGGTCGACTCTTCAGCTAATGGGTCATTGTCCACAAAAACAATTGATGAAGCATTGAAGTTATATGAGACAATGGCTACAACCTCAGCAATGTGGACCATGGAACGGGCAGTACCAAAGAAGACACCAGGAGTTTATGAAGTGGATGTGTATTCAGCATTATCTGCCAAGATTGACTCCTTATTTCACAAGGTGGAAAATATTACCCAGTCAGCTAATACAGCGCAGACAAAGAAGGCAAATTGTGAAGAATGTGGAGCTGAGCATGTGACAGCAGAATGTCCAATTTTGACACAAGGAAAAGAGCAAGCAGATTTTGCTCAATAGGGACAACGTCAGCAGAATAATGTGTATGGAGAGACCTTCAACCCAAGCTGGAAAAAGCACCCCAACTTTTCTTGGAGCAACCAAAATCAGAACAGGCCACAAGGGCAATACCAACAGCAGGAGAAGAAGCCTCAATTGGAAGAAATGTTCGGCAAATTCATGGAAAAGACCAACCAATATATGGAGGCGAACAACCAATTCATGAAGAAGACAGAAGCCACACTTCAAGACCAGAATGCAGCCATTAAGAATTTGGAAACTCAGATGGGACAGATGGCAGTTGCATTAACAGGTAGAGCACCAGGCAGCCTGCCAAGTAACACAGAAGTCAATCCGAAAGAGCATGCAAAGGCTATAAAAACGAGAAGTGGGGTGGAATTGCCTGAGAGACAAGTGAATAATCCCGTGACAAACAGAGAAGATGTGTCTCCTGAAGTAGAAGAGAATTTGGAGCAAGAAGAACAGACAGAAGAGCCAACACCGAGAACAAATAAAGGAAACTCAAGGGATAAAGAAACTGTAGCTGTGAACCCCTATGAGCCACCCATACCGTTCCCACAGAGGCTGAAGAAGCAAAAGATGGAACAACAATACAAGAAGTTTCTCGAGGTCTTCAAGAAGCTCCATATCAACATCTCATTCGCTGAAGCACTAGTTCAGATGCCTAGCTATGCAAAATTCCTGAAAGACATCCTGTCAAACAAAAGGAAGCTAGGAGATCATGAGACAGTTATGCTAACGGAGGAGTGCAGTGTCAGGATTCAGAGAAAGCTCCCACCAAAATTGAAAGATCCAGGGAGTTTCACTGTCCCTTGTACCATTGGTGAATTTTATTTTGATAAAGCTTTATGTGATATTGGTGCAAGTATTAACTTAATGCCATTGTCTATTTTCAGAAAATTAGGATTGAGAGAAGCTAAAGCTACCATGGTGACCTTACAGCTGGCTGACAGATCATTAACACATCCACGAGGAATAATTGAAGACGTGTTGGTTAAAGTGGAGAAGTTCATATTCCCAGCAGACTTTCTGATTCTGGATATGGAAGAAGATAAAGATGTTCCTTTAATACTGGGCAGACCATTCTTAGCCACAGGCAGAGCTTTGATCGAGGTTCAGAATGGGTAGTTGATACTGATATTGGGAGAAGACCAGGTTTCATTCAATGTCTTCAAGGCCATGAAATTGCCAATAGAGACTGACAGATGTTTCAGGGTTGACATGATCGATAAAATGATTGAAGAATCATTTACACTGCAGAATCCATCAGATGCATTGGAGGCCTGCATTGCATATTCTAAATCCACGAATTCTGATTTTGAAGACATAGAAATGTGTGCAAGATTTTTGGAGTCCAACCCACCTTACACGCGGAAACGATACTTTGAGGAGCTTGGGACAGGGCCAGAGAAATCACAGCCATCTATTTTGAAGCCACCAATGTTGGAACTTAAGCAGCTGCTCCCACACTTAAGATATGCATATTTGGGGGAGTCCAATACACTTCCAGTGATAATTTCAAACATGGTTAGTGAAGTGGAGGAGGAAAAACTGCTTAGGGTGCTTCGAGATAACAAGCAAGCAATTGGGTGGACCATAGTTGATATCAAAGGGATCAGCCCTTCCTTATGTATGCATAAAATTCTCATGGAGGAGAATTTTCGACCAACAGTTGAAAGTCAAAGAAGGCTAAACCCAAACATGAAGGAGGTAGTAAGAGCAGAGGTGATCAAACTTCTGGATGCTAGAATAATCTACCCGATATCAGATAGTAAATGGACTAGTCCAGTGCAAGTTGTGCCCAAGAAAGGAGGAATTACAGTGGTTCAGAATGAAAAGAATGAGTTGATTCCAACAAGGACGGTAACAGGGTGGAGAGTTTGCATTGATTACCGCAAACTAATTACCGCTACAAGGAAAGATCATTTCCCTCTTCCGTTTATAGATCATATGTTGGAGAGATTGGCAGGCCATTCCCACTACTGCTTTCTGGATAGATATTTGGGTTATAATTAGATACCAGTAGCACCAGATGATCAAGAGAAGACCACCTTTACATGCCCCTATGGTACCTTTGCATACCGAAGAATGCCATTTGGACTTTGCAACGCTCCTGCTACATTTCAGCGATGCATGATGGCAATTTTCTCAGATATGGTAGAGAAATTCATTGAAATCTTTATGGATGACTTCTCGGTCTTTAGGACCTCATTTGATGAGTGTTTGGATCACTTGAATTTGGTTTTGCAAAGATGCAGAGAAACGAACTTAGTATTGAACTGGGAGAAATGTCATTTCATGGTTCAAGAGGGAATAGTCTTGGGACATAGAGTATCGGCAAAGGGGATAGAGGTGGATAAGGCAAAAATTCAGGTTATTGAGAAACTACCACCACCTACATCAGTAAAAGGAGTTCGAAGTTTCCTTGGTCATGCAGGGTTTTACAGGAGGTTTATAAAGGACTTCTCCAAAATCACCAAGCCTCTGTGCAACTTGCTAATGAAAGAGGCAACTTTTGAGTTCGATGAGGAATGTTTGATAGCTTTCAATACTCTGAAGGAAAAACTCACAACAGCACCTGTGATTATGTCACCTGATTGGGATTTGCCCTTTGAGCTAATGTGCGGTGCGAGTGATCATGCAGTTGGTGCGGTATTGGGACAAAGAAAGAATAAAATCTTTCATGTGATATACTATGCAATTAGAACTTTGAATGACGCCCAAATCAACTATGCTACGACCGAGAAGGAATTGCTAGCTGTGGTTTATGCATTCGACAAGTTCAGATCGTATCTTGTTGGGTCTAAGGTTATTGTCTACACAGATCATGCCGCTCTGAAATATCTTATGACA